GCGCTGAAGGTCTCCCGGCCCCTCTGACCTGGCCGCGCAGGCCGAGGCGTGCTGGGCCTCCGCGGCGGGAGGCCCGCATGGCCCTCCTGCCCCACACGCACCCCTGGGGCAGCCGAGCCTCTCCCCAGTACCTCCTTGCCCAGGCTCCCAACTTTGAAGTACTGAAGCAGCCTTAACCTTTTATGCATAAACTTTCTTTACAGCTTTAGGGACTTTCTTTACGTTCGAATCATAATGAAACCTGTAAACTAAACCCTGCCCCTGTGGTGGACCTGTCAGTACAGAGAACTGTGAGGGCTCTGGGGTCTGCTCGACTGATTTCACAATTGAAACGTTATGAAAATGTCTCAATAGTAAACTGAAGAGTTGCCTAGTAATCTGCATGGCAAGATATCTCTCACGGTTGGTTTTCAAGGGATTTTATTCTTAGTTACTGTGTTTCTTTGCTCTTTTGGTAGATGAAAATGAAGCAGAGAAACCAGAGGAAGAAAAAGCTAGGTGAGTATCTTGACAACTGGAAGTCCTGAAGCGTGTGCACAAAAATTGTGTTCATTACATTCTTCTTCCCAGCTGCTTGAAAGTCCGCAGCGCCTGAACACACTCCGGTGTCTCTGAAAATCCCCTTAAGGTAGTCTGTTTGGTCTGCTAGAATGACTTGGCTTTTCCGTGAAATGGTTTTACCTGTGAAATTGGGACACTTGAATATGAAAGTTATTTTAAGTTTTAACTGTATTGACAGCAAGACCCCCTCACAAAATGCCAACAGGTCTTTTATTTCTGTAATCATTGTGCTTTGCAGTCTTAGTAAGGGATCAGGACTTCATTTGTCCTAGATAATTTAGAAATTAAAAGACAGTCTGTCTCCCAAAGAGTTTACAATGCAGTTACAAGAAGAGGAATACAAGGAAGCAGTGGAAGATTACCAGCTAGTTTGATGTGCAGGTCGCATAACACATCTGCTTTGGTTTTTTTTATTAGTAAGAGAGTATTTGCAAGAAATTTAGAAAAAGCTTTGGAAGTATTTGGGGGAGCCTGCTTGAGTTATAAGGAGCTGTATGAAAGAAAGCACAAAGATGCTTCTTTGAAAATCTAGCTAAGTTGATGGAGGTTGGTAGCAAGGACTGACTGGAAATGGGAATCAGTCTCTTGTGCTGAATGAAAGAAGTCTCACAATTGATAAACTATGGAAGTTGTTAATTGTCAAGATAAATTAAACAAATAAAAGGGAAGCCAATGCAAAAAAACAGGTATTGCTATTTTCTATAAATGCTTCCAGTCAACTGAGATTTTTTCAATGCGAACTCTTGAATTTAGTTACCCGTGGTGGACTTCTTGCCTGTAAGCTTGCTCAGTTGCTTTTTTGAACTGATGTCAACTTTTGACAGGCACAGTGTGATACAGCAGTAATGACCTCCAACACTTGACTACATACGATACTGTTTTGAAGCAGCTACTAGATGCAATTACTTGATTCCCATTAGTTCTTGTGGTATAAGAAACAGAGTTGTTTCTTGTCACCTTTTCCATGTCACTTAGCAGTTTTCTCGACCTCTCTTGCATTCATCTTGAATCATCTCTTTTCCAGGACAAAGAATTCTAATTATTTATTTGCTCTTTATTTGGAAGCTATTCCATATCAAGTGATTCCCTGTGTTTAGTTACTTTTTCTTGACCTGGCACCTTTTGTCAGTATTACTGTTGTTTAAGAAAATTATTTGCATGGCAACCAAAATGATCTCTAGAAACAGTGGTGTTTTATTCCAGTTTCTGGTCAATAGTGTCTAGCTTGGCATTTGGCTGCCTCAATACATAGCTGTGGGCTAAAAAGCATAACAAATGGTAGCTTATGCATCTTACGAGTTGTGTTTGGAACTCTGGAAGTGTGGTAGCAGTTTACCTGTTCAAAGTTTTGGTCTCTGGCCTCCCAATTTTGGCATTCTTCGTATATATAAAAATCATGAGGTTTTATTCAGGTCTGTGGCTAGTCTGTCATTTTACTGGGTGGTGAAGTGAAATGGGCAAGCTTGAACCCTGGGGCCATACCTGGGCTGTGTTGGGTTTTGGTGCAGTGCTCATAAGTGGGTATTTTGCCAACAGAAGACAGGATCAAAATCATTCTGTTCAATAAAAATTGGCAGTTGCTCAGTCCATTTCAGAAATATCTTTTCAGTGAAAGAATATTGTTTCTAAACGGCTCCCTCCTTACTCTGCTGTTTGTGATGCAACATCCTAACAGTTAATGGAACTGTGGAAATTAAAATATTGCTGTGTAAGAAACAGCAGTAGGTAAGCTCAGTGAGACAGCTCATTTGCATGGATTCGACAGTGCTGGTCATTTTAGATGGACCAGTAATTTTAAAATTTTTACAGTTTTCAGTCTACAGTTAAAATATAATTGAATTAATCATTGAATTGTAGCTATTCCATATGGTGGAAGAAAATTTCACAATGCAGATGCGGGAATTTTGATTCAGTGCAGCATTACCTATGGGTATTTAAATGTTTTTTCCATTATGTCTTTGAAAAGCGTCAGTCTGCAGGGGCGGGGGGGGGAAGCTGTTATTCTCCCTTCATATAGTATGAAAGATTTCACTTTGATTCCAAAAGAGGATCCAGGTGTAGTGCCTTATTACTTCCAACTATTCTACAAACATCCAGTTAGTATGATTTATGATAGCTAAATATTATCCTGCTAATATAATGTTATATTAATCTAGAAATTTTTTGAATAAATTAAATTTTTTTTTTAATTAATGCAGAAGATAGCTGGAGCTTTGGCTCTTCTCTGGAATGATGTAGCAAGGCTTTTTTCATCATTAGCTGATATGTGTGAAACAGTATGTGCATAAATACCTAGTTTCATCTTTTCCTGTTTGTTTTTGTTTAAGTGCTCCACCCCCACCTGGAAATGAAGAGGAAGCTGCAGAAAATGGCGTTGTGAAAACGGTAGTTTTAAATGTGTTTTTGAAATACTGCTTTAATTTGTTTTGATTTATGGATTATTCGTAATTTGGCTAGGACTTACAATTAAATGAATTAATGCATAAGTGTACGCCTTTGATTTTATTTTTCTGAAAGGTGTTCGACACTATCTGCAGAAACTCTAGAAATTACTAAATTAGGAATCCAATTTCCAGCTGCAGTCCACTTTTTAAATCTAACTTACAGAAAATAAATGAATAGTACTTCCAGTTTTTTGGAGGAGAAAGACAGTGCTTCAAGACAGCTGTCTTTTCTCACAGACATCCTTTTCAAAATGATAAGCTCTCTATTTTTCCTCACTGATACGAAAATAAAATCCTCTGATTATTTTTCTTTTTTGAACATGACAAACAATCAGCATTTGCAGAACTGTGTGACAATATGGATCAAGAGATGAATTACACATGCCTTTCAGAGGCAACATAACAGAACTTGTTTGGTAGTAGTCTTAAATATTCAGTATGTCTTACAACTTCAGTGTTAGTATGATGAAGGAAAGGACCAGGAAATGAAATTTACAGTTGCAGTGTTGATAAAAGGTCTCAGTTTACTGTGAATGGGAACAGTTTAAATCTGTTCTGTGAAAAAATTGTAATTTTACTTCACTGGGATTCTTTAGCTTATATCTTGCAAGAATTCTCTTAAGTGATGCAGAAACCATTATCATGATATTTGTGCAAGTTTTAGGACTCGCCTCTCTCAAAATTATATTTTTTTTTCAGTAAGTCTAATACTTTATTTATGAAAGATATTACAACTTATTTAAAGTTGCGGAAAAAAAAACTTATAAAAACTTAAAAAACTTATTTCAATTGTTTAAACTGAAAAGCTCTTTATTTTAAGTGCACCAAAGGCTTTTTGTGCTGATGCTAATACTGTAAGTGGGCAGTAGATTTAATATGTTAGGTACAAGGAGACAATAGTATACTTGTTTGGACTTGCTGATTTTAAAATATTTCTGAAAATCCTCACAGTTTCCTTGTACTTGCATATATTTGTATTTGTCACCTGTATAAAGCCTAGCATTGTTAGGATATCATTAGAACATCTCATAAAATTGAGAACTTCATGGTAAAAGGTGCACGTGAAGGGTCAGCAGCAACCTAGAAAAATGGATGGTGTTCAAGTTGGTTGAATAAGAAAAAGTGAATATTTCTGTCAGGAGGGAACTAAGAAATCATTGTTTGTAAGTGAAATTGGTTTTGGTTGAAAAGGTACATGCTCCAGGCAAAATTTTATTTTATGTTCGATGCATTTGTAATGGCTCTCTACTGTGTGGGTTGCCTGGTGTGTGAGAGAGTGGTGAACTTTTACTTTTCAGCAGTGGGGCATTGAAAGACTGACTTCTGTCTTCAGCTGTCATTTACAGTATATCTATACTGATCTAGACTCCCCCCTCCCCCCCTTGATTAGACTCTTAATTGTTTTGTAAATTATATTAATGTTGTATAGCAAGGATGACCTGCACTCCCAACATCTTATCTTCTATGCAGTTGCTTATTTTTGTCTAATTTATGTACCAGGCAAGTGAATAGACAGTATAATAGATAAGGGGTAGAGCTCAGCTTTGCTTGGATAACTGCCGGCTACCTGGGCAGAATCAATTCGGTATGTTTAGCCTTTTGCTGAAGGATTCAACACATATGTGAATAAGGGTGATCTGGTTGATAAAGTTCACTTGGATTGCACAAAGTTCTTGAAGAAATTCCTCACCAAAGGATTTTAAGAAAAGTAAGCAGCTATAGGATGAGTCCCACATGGATAATTGATGTGTAAAAGATAGAAAACAGAGGGTAGAAGTAAAAGTTCAATTTTCACAGCGAAGGAAGGTCACCTCCAGTGGGGATTCTTTGGAATGTTGTGCATAACCTGTGCTGTTTAATGTGTTTATAAATTACTTGGAAAACGGGTGAGTTGTGGGATCACAAGTTTTCTGATGTTACAAAGTTATTCAAGATAGTAAGAACAAGGACTATCTGTGAAGAACTGACTGGTTAATAAATGGTTATTGAAAATCTGTATAGAAAAAGAAGAGTGATGTTCACGGGTGGAAAAACAGGTTTACAATAAAATGGTGGTCTCTGAGCTGGTCGTTACCACTTAGGAGGGACACACTGAGATACGTAGAAAGACCCATGAAATTGATGGTTAAGTGCTTGTCTAAAGTCTAAAAAGCAGTTAAACATTGGGATGTAGCAGAAAATGAATAGAGAACAAAACGGAAGATATCATTATACCATAAATTCATGGTTCAGTTGCACCCTGAATTCTGTGTGCTGTTCTGTTCCCCCTCACATCGTAAAGGCTTTACTTCAACTGGAAAAAGTTGAGAGAAGAAGAGCAGCAAGAGTAATTGAGGTAGCTTCCGTACAAGGAATGGCTGACTAGGCAAGGACTTCTCAGCCTGGAGGACAGGCATACGTAGGATATGATGGACACTAACAAAATCACGTGTGGAGATTGTAAGTAAGGATTGACTCCTCACAGTCCCTTCCATATGAGAACTGAGACTGTTAAATGAAAGTCATAGGAGCCAGGATGAAAACAAATAAAAGAGGTTGGATCTTCATGCAATAGACGGTGCTATGGAGAGTGTCGCTGCTGGGAGTTTATATGAGTCCAAGGGAAGTCTCGGCAAGTACTTGAGAGAAAGATCCTTTGGGGGTAAATAGACAAACCATAACTGGCTTAGGAAATGCCCTGAGCTAATAATGATCAGCGGCTGAAAGAGGGTTAGGGAGGAGCACCATAAGAGTTTGCGCTGTTTTTTCGCTCCCCTATGATCTCTGGGAAGAGAGGACCAAAACAAAACGCCGAACAAACCCAAACCACTGGACTAGATGAATTCTTGGTATGAACCGTTATGACAATTTTATTTACCAACAACCTTCAATGCTATGGGACGGAACAGCGTGCAGTGTGCTCTTCTGTTTTTTCAGCCTGTTCGCTGAAAAATCTCGTGTGTTTTATATAGTTTACTGATGCTAGGAACTGAATAGATTTCTCTGAAGCGTAGTGTTCATCTACAACTGGAAAAACATTTATTTGAGTTACTCTGGATATGTAATTGAGGATGGCAAGAGGCTAGTCTTGCATGTCTTTAAGTTCTTTCCTGAATGACAAGGTAAGAGTAGAACCAGTGTGTGTGAGCTAAATAGAGGGAAGAAGGATATTAGGTAGTGGAAGCTATTTTATGCTTATTTAGGAAACGTCATGTTTCAGAAACAGAACTTAGTATTAAAGATACTTCTCTATTTTGATCCAGATGCTTCAGATACTTGTAGCATTTCAGCAGATGAGCCTCCTAAATTTACTGTTAATGCTACTCAGTTCTGAGGTCTAGGAAAAGGAGAATTTTCTTCTTTCGAAGATTTCTAGAACAGATAGTTTTGTCTGGATTATTTTTCCACTGTAAAGGTAAGTGAGTGCTTTTTGTCTAAGCAACGACTTTTTCTTTTGTAGAAGGTGGCAGAGGCTGAGGATGACAGTGATAGTGATAGTGATGATGATGAAGATGATGTTCAAGTCACCATAGGGGATATTAAAACAGGAGCTCCACAGTATAGGTAAGTTATTTGCAAACATTAACTGGGGGAACTTTCAAGATTACATTTAATGATCAATTCAGGCTCTTTAATACCTGTCAGTGTCAAATTGTATGCATAGTTAGTCTCAATTTAGGGTTTTTTCAGCTCTTTAACAATGTTTTTAATGATATAGTGACTTGAAAACAAAAAAGTGAAATGAAGTCAATGAAATGTCTTAAAGGAAGACCTGTTGTATGATTTGTTTTTAGACTTTGAGAAATACTTGTATTAAGTTTGTAAAGTAGAGGGTTGTTTTTTATTATGGAATGGCTATGTTACATAGCATTTTTAGGGTCATTATTGTGACGGTGACATTTCTGTTGCAAATGGTAGAGTGGTAAGCACAGAGAACATTGGAAACATTTGTCCTTGGTCCTGTTTGTAGTGGATGCAGTTCTTATTAGACCTCTATAGTTTCAATTCCTATAGATGTTCTCAAATAAGATTTTAATGTACTTCAGGATGGAGCTGCCAGTCTCTGGAGATAATTTCTCAAGATTATGGTTTAGGCATTTGTAGCATACAAGAAATTTTTTGCTACTGTTATTGCCCCGTATTCCTTCTTCTCTTGATAAAGGGCTTGTTTTTCACTCAACGCTTTTGAACAGTGTTAATTTTACCCAAAATTATGAAATACTATTTTTCATTACATGGAAGTTTTCTGAGGGAAGTGGTTTGGTTGTTTGTCTTGGCAATCCTAATGTTTTCATGCTTATTAAACCCAGAGTTACTAGGGTGTCATTTCTTAATAGAATTATGACAGGTCTGCAGGTAGGTCTGACTCATGTATATTATTGTGTTCTTAACTTTAGAATGCAGGTGGTTTACTCATTTTTGAAATATAATATTTTTAAACTTTCAGTATTTCATATCCTAAACTAACTGTGCAAATCAATGTGATATAAAAAATAGCAATTCTTTCAGTTCTTTATTTGTCTGCTTTCAATAACTTGCAGTATGCTTGTGGTGTAGGCAGTGACCTCAAATTTTGTGAGACTAAAGCAAAACTACATTTATATTCTCAGTAGATTTGCTGGTGCTCTTTCCATGAGTACAGAAAACAATGAGCAGATGATCCTAAATCTAATTAGAGTAGAAAGTTTTACGTAGACATGGTTGTTTTCTGAAAAACCTTTTTTCTGGGCAAATTGGACAGAAAGTTCATGGAGGGGCAGTAATCTAAAACAAACTTAACATTGCTGTTCATTTTAACTTCAGTATAACAGGTTCCTTTTATAGGATTAAATGATTTTTCATATAGTAGTCAACTGCTGTTTAAAAAAAACCGTAAGATTTGTTTGACAAAGTCATGCACAAATACAGCATGGCAGATCAGAAGGTTAAATGTTTTGTGTCAGTTTTGTGTTTTTGTAGCACTTGAATGAAAACTAAAACTGCATGGAAGTGGTACTGCAAACTATACACTGCCTTCTAATTATATGCTAATCTCATTACGTTTATGGGTTGATACCACCTGTGAGGATAAGCTACACTGCATGCAAATGGTAGTGAAAGCCTGCTCTTAATGTTCCAAATGAACAATACTGTAGTTCCTAAGGTAGTTAAATCAGTATCTAGATTTCTGAGTGCATTTTTATGAAGAAAGCTCTCAAGTATTTTAGAAAGTGAAATGTTACATACTTTTCTGTTGGTCACAAGGATAGGTGATTGCTAGAAGTACATTGAAACAGCCTTTCAATCATTGTAGAGGAATGCTTGTATTTTCTACTTCTGTACAGATTAAATGGAATAATTACGAAAAGAGAAAAGGATCTGTCTAAACCCTTTCTTTTCTTTTTTTTATTTTGTTTTTACTCTAATCCCCAGAGTGTCATCTGTATCCCTAAATGAACTGCATTTTTCCTTTCTCTCTTCTTCTGGTTCTGTCCGTTCTTGTTTCTATCAAGGTCTTTATCCTTTCAACTCAGGAAGAGTGACTGGGACTTGCTTCACAACTGTTTATTAGTTGGAGAAGTTGCTACTGAGCATAGAAAGGTACACTCTCTTCCTCCTAGGCTGATCTCTTTACTTTTACAGTGTTACCAGCTTGGAAAGCTAGAGATTCAGGATGGTGATTGAGCCTGGGTCCAGTTTGTTTCTGGATCTTGCTAACTCTTGTTATGTGTTTTCTTCTGTTTTAAGAGTGTTCTCTGTCTAATTCAGTTTTGTTAATTTCTTTAAGTTACGGAGCGGCACCTGTGAATCTCAATATTAAGACAGGAGGACGAGCTTATGGATCTTCTGGTAAGAAAATTTACACAGTAATGTTAGTAAAAATGCAAAAAAATATTTGGTTGTTTTGGATGAAGGAAATAATTTTCACTTCCAAAACTTCTTCATAAATTTAAATCTGACTTCCTATTTCTATTTTAAGTGTGTTAAAACTATTTGGTAGAGACAGAAGGCTCTAACTTTCTAACTTTTCTTCACAGGTGCAAAAGTTAAAGGGGTGGATCTAGATGCACCGGGGAGTATTAATGGTGTGCCACTTCTGGAAGTAGATTTAGATTCTTTTGAAGATAAACCTTGGAGAAAGCCAGGTAATGTTCTGGTTTACGTTAACTGATATGTAGGTATTCAGTAGGTTATTTTAATAATAATTCCCGTTTACTGCATGTAGGTCTTATCTACCCTATAGCTAGAAGATACTGTACAATAGAACTTGGAAAAAGCAACTAAGTTACTTGTTGCCTTTGTGGTGTGCCACAGAGTGTGTGGGTGTGCCTTGTTTCTTAGTATACATTCTGCACATCCATCAGCAAAAGGAGACTGTAGGACATGCCCTTTGTTTTTTTTTAAATGTATGTATATCCTGAACTCTCCTTGGAAATCTGTATTTCTGTGGAGATTACTGCCATTGGTCTGTGCCATAGGACAGAAGATAAAGCAGAATGGAAAATAGTTCTAATAGGTTTGAGCATGAAGAATGGTGAAACATAGCTGCTTGTGCTTCTTTGTGTTCACACATAGATGTCCATAAGCTTTGAAGAAGCAGCTGGTACCACATGGGTTTTCCATAAGTCTCCTGTGTGTATTGTCTGGTTGGCTCAAGTGATTTTGCCAGACTTGTCTAATACCTGCGTTGCTTGTTGTTTTTTTAGTGGCAGTACGTCTTGCTGCTGTGTATAGTTTTTTCTGGTGTTTGTATGTTGCTTTGGCAATGCAACTAGTGTCTACAAAATGGAAAAAAGAAGCCTTTGATAATATTCTGGTGTTTGAACTGTTACATATTTGAAATACATTCTGTGCATTTGAGTTATGTCTGGTCTCTCTCTTACAATAAAAATACTTCGTGGCATCAAATGAAACTAGGAGTCAAAACGAAATGAGGAGTCAAATACAGAACAAGCAAAAGGGAGTGGTTCTTCACTGAACATACAGCAAACCTGTAGATCTTACATTTATCCTAGTGTAAAGATACAGGGATTATAATATCCTATGATATTCTGTAAGTATCTACTCTTGATCCCTGAGATGAGATGCTAGGCAAGATACTCTTTCTGACTAAATTTTAATGTTTTTATAGTCTTAGCCATGAATACTCTATGTTAACTGAAGTAAAACTGTATTGTACATTGCAGTAGTATGTTTTTAGATCAATGCCTAATCCGTTTTGTATATATGTTCAGTGGAGAAGAGAAAAGATGAACTTTGTAATGTCCTAAAAACCTATGCTTTTCTATTTAAAGGGGCTGATCTCTCTGATTATTTCAACTATGGGTTCAATGAAGATACCTGGAAAGCTTACTGTGAAAAACAAAAGAGAATACGAATGGGTCTTGAAATTTTACCAGTTACCTCAACCACAAATAAAATTACGGTAATTAGTACAACTTTTGTGGTATTATACGTGCTTTTTTCCCTGGAAAGTTGCTTGTGTGTCATAAGCTTGTTGTGCCCAGTTCAGTGCGTTTGTTAGAGTGTGCACCTGACTCCCCACCCCGAGCCTAGAGTGTTCCTGTGTTGCTTCATTGGCAATTTGTGTGGATAGTGTGGCAGACTAGCTACAGCTAGATTGCATCTGTACCATTATTCAGATTGTGGCCCATCACTTAAAAGTTGTATGGTATCTTAATGGGCAATGTGTTATTTAACTTAGGCTGAAGACAATGCTATGGAAGTAAGACCAAGTGCAGAGATTCTCGATGGCAGATACCATCTTTTTAAGGTGAATTTTAGTAAACTTTTGTTGGTTGCTCTCATTTTTGTTGAGTATTGCTTCCCATGCCACGACAGACTGATAGAAGTACAACTGAAATGGACATAGCCATTATGTCAAACTCTCATCTTACATCAGTGACTTTCTGCGTATGTCACAAAATGCTGATTAAAAAGTGTTGCTTTGTTCGTCACCCTTCTGCAAGCATGTGAGTTAGTGGCCTGGTGAACTAACAAATTTCCCAGTGAAACTAATTTTTCTTTATGTGATGGTTTATTTTTAGCTGTAGTGCATTTGTTTGTGCAGATTAAAGAATTCGTGCAGATGTGCTGGGGAAGCTTTTGTAGGTTACAGCATGTTTATTTTTCCTGTGGCCTTGTAGCTCTTACTGTGTTTTGTAACACTTATCCTTGGCAACTCTGAGATGTGAAAATCAATCTTCCATATTTTTCTGTTGACCTTTTGGGATTAGATGGCAATAAATCAAGTTATATGTAATATTTTTACGTTTGGAAATGCTGACTTTCAGACAGCAGAAAAATCTATATGACGGGATTTATCTTAAGGATTGAACATTTTTTTCAACTTCTCGTTTTCTCATTTACTCTTTCATTTGATACTAAAGTTGAAATTAAAGTACAAAGGTTATTTATTTTGCTTATTTTCAATATGCAGTCATTTTTGTTCTTGAACTGTCATTAAAATGACTTGGAACTGTTTGTTGCTTTCTTCTGTATACTCCTGTGACAGAAGTGTCAATTGCAGACAGGTATTTTTGTTTCCCCTCATATGCTACTTGAGGATATCCAGTCATTTTGACTTTATCTTAGCAAGAACAGATCAGAAGCTCCCTGGGGCTTTTTGCCTTCCTCAATTACCATTATAATAGTGTTATGGAATGGTGGAAATGGTGGGCAATGGGAGTTATGATTTGCAGCTGACTACACTCTCAAACTTCTCTGAACTGTTGTCCTGAAGGAAGAAGGGTAAGTATTCCAAACCAAAGCTTCCCCTATTTCTAGCTCAGTATTGACTCTCTGGGGGTCCAGTGATCAAACAGTACAGGTAATAATTGTGTTTTAAGAGTCTGAAGTAGAGTTTGTCATGTGTTTTACAAGGAGTTTACATAGAATTATTAAATAATTAACTTTTTTCCCACTCTTCTGAAATACTAAGTCTCATGTAATTTACATGGTGTGTTTGGATTAATCCTCTGTAACTGGCAAGACTTTGTCTCCTACATTTTCCAGTTACTCATTAATTAATTGAAGACTTACAGATTTTTCAGATAAATACTTAAACCAAACCTATTCAGTTTTTTTTTTCATATTTCTGGATTAAGTTTAATTCAGTCTTAACTATTTACGTGCATTTTTGTGGTTTTGGGAAAAAGGTGCCTGTGTTTAGAAGTGAGATTCTGCAAAAGCTTAGTAGTTCACTTGCCTACAAGAAGCTGTGAGATCACAGCCTATGTGATGTTATACCATGAGTGAACTAGCTATGTAGAGTGATGTAGCGATGTGATTGGTACAGTGGGAGTGTCTTTAAAAAACAAATCAGTACAGATTTGTCTTTAATGCTAACCCATGTAGGTTTTTCTTTCATGTATAATGTGCTGCTGAAGTCAAACAATACTTGAAGTACTGGCGTGAAAGGTCTTGCATAGCTTTAATAACGTGTCTCTGGAATTTTGCAGTACTTCAGTAACAGCAGTATGTTTTTGAAGTATTCAGTCTGAACTAATGAAAAGTCTTTAAAGTTTGCCTTTAAAGTGTGTGAGGTGACTTCCTGGTATGACTCGGAAATTAAGTGGTTACTAGATCTCATAGTCAGTAAGGCAGACAGAGTATCCACTCAGTTTCTTGTCTCATGTTTTGTTGTTGGGTAGCAGACTTGTTAGATAACTCTGTCGTTAAGATTGTGAAGATTTTTATTTTTTTTAATAAGTATGCTTCTTTTAAAAATTAAGATGTTATTTTGTTCATACAGGAAATTCTACAAGAAAATAAGTTTGGTCTGTTCATGTCCAAATCAAATGCTTGGAAAATAAATATTAAAACTGTCTAATCTTCTCTAATAATTTGTTCTCTGGCATATTCCTTTTTACATATATTAAACACAGTACTTAAGTAATATATCCTTATAAAATACGGACTTTTACTAACTGTGCAAAGATGACAGTTTTTTAAAAATCTGGTTAAAGTTGGACTTTCTTTTTGTGTTGGCTATGTGCTGTGTTGAGTGTTGGGGCTACTGTACTTCTGAGGTTAAACTAATGATGAAACATTATTTTGAAGGTACAGCAGGGCAGAACTGGAAATTTGGAGAAAGAGTTGGCAGTGCAGTCGACCAAAGCTGATTTCACATCTCCTCCTGCCTTATTCAAATCAGGAATTCCAACAAACAGGTCAGTTAGAGAGTTGTAACACAAGACCAAAAAACTTTTTATACTGTATTTGAAGTTCATGATTTTTGTAGGAAAAAAGGAAAATCTGTTTCTGTAACAGGTAGAAATGAAGGGTAGAGTGATCCTAAACACTTTTAGCCTTCAGTCACCATTATGCATGAATGCTGTGCTACCTTCTTGGCTATTCGGGAAAGAGAAAGAAGAAGGAAAGGGAAGAAAAACCAGCAGGACCAACTAACAAGGCAGCTATAAAAATCCAGGTGTTGATGTATGACACCATGTTTTTTCTGTGGAATTAGATTGGCCGACAAAATGTTTCTAGCTAGTGTCTTTATGGGTATTAGCTAACACTTTCCAGTTAAACAAGGTGGAATCAGACAGCTATGACTTCAACAACTGGAAGGATTCCTGGAAGCCAGTCTCTTTCCTGCAAGGTAGCTTTAGCTTCTCCGTATTTGAATATTTTACTACACTTCTTTGAAATGAGAGAAATTATTTCCTTACTAGGGTTTCTTCCCCTTCTTCTCCCAGCCCCAGGCTTTAATAAGTTCTGTCTTTTATATCTAAGCTACTGCTGTTTGATACCCGGCACTTGGCTTAGGGTGAATCCATGCTTCTGCTCTACTTCAGTTATCAAGTGATCCTGTATAGGAGTTTTCTTCTGTGCAAATTAAAAGCCGTTGTATTATAAATGATGGTAAGAGAGGTAGAACAGGTTGTAAGCCTTCGTCATCAACAGTTAAAGATTAGCATCTATGACTTGTCTTTATGGACTTTATGGACTGCATCCATAAGTACCTTGACTAATTCAGAGGCACTCATGTTCAATTATTCCATCCTTTAAGAGTCAGTTCAATACCCAAATATATTTCTCTTGGGTGAGGGGAAAAAATCTTGCTTGATACTCTTGCCTGCATTTTTCTTTCACTCCTAGAATATTCCTCTGGGTAGTCTAAATTCTTCTCTGAGCTATCAGGTTATACTGCACTGTTTTTAGTAAATTTTAGTTCTTTTTTTTTCCATTTTTCCTTGTCTAAGAAGTAGTAAAAGTCTTCCAAACTTTGTACCAACCCTGTAATTATTTTTTTTTTACTTTTGTTTTCTGAATTGCTTCTGATGTGTGATGTTCTTGTAAAAGAGTTCTCAAAATTGAATGTACTGTTCACAGGGTAAGGATTCCAAATCTGTATCTGGTACAGGTTTTGTTAGAGGATTTCAGTTCTTTATGCATCTCATTGGTGGACAGAGAATCTCTAAAATACTTCAGAAATTAGTTAATGACCAGGATATTAAAATGTAGTTAATATAGAAAAAATGCATTGCGTAAATTCTGTGATTCTGTGAAACTTGCATTTGTTGTGGGAAAGCTTAATACAGTAAGGTCATACATGTGCATGGTGTAGGCTTCATAAGTAAAATCTTTGTTGTATGCTCTAGCTAGGATAAATCTATCTTACCATAGATAGTCTTTATACCATATTTTTATGTGATACTTTTTTTTTTTCCTACCTGAAGTTAGCAATCCCAAGTTTAAGTGACCATCTTTCTGATTTTTGAAGGTTTAAAGTCACTATATTGGTTGTTAGTCAGGGCTTTCCTGAGAAACTTAAGACGTGTCTGTTTTCTCCAGGAACTAAGTTTACCTTAGCAAAGGTTGGGAAACCCGTATATCTTTAAGAATGAGAAGCCAGTAAGTGAAGTTGGTCTGTTGCGTAGATAAAGAGGAAACAAAATGGTGCATTTCCAGTTGTATCACTTGTGCATTCCAGTGGTTAGAATAGTTTGTTTTGTATGTGAATATAGGTTGTTTTAGTGTGAATACTGTAATTGTAAGTTGTTAAAATGGCAAAATGGATTTCTTTCCATATTTAATATCTGCTCCTTTGGATGCATTTGCTTAAAATAAATTCGTCTGTAAAGGAAAATGTATTTCTACCAAGTGGTCAGAAGAGATTTTGAAAGAAAACTGTATGCTCAAAAGTCTGAGAGTAGCTCAGTGAATGAATACGTCTTAACTGTATGGATTATATATACTTCTACTTGAATGACTTCTCCAGAATGCAGCTACTATTTTCTTTATATAAAAACCTGTAGTACTAATTTCTTTATAATCAGGCAGTTTTTTATGGGATTGGACTTTTTTTTTTTCTCCTTTAATTAAAGAGTTAATTTTAGGTAGGCAGAAATTTTTCGGCAATCCAGCTCTTTGATAATTTAAAATAATTGTCTTGAGGCATTTGTAATAGCTTTGTTGTGAAATTGCTGGAAGCATTTCTCATGTAGCAGTAAAACTTCTCTCAGCTTCTATCGGTAGTTGATATATTTGGTGAAAGGGAGGGAAAACTGATGTAACTGGGTATAGCGGAGGGTGCACTCTTCACTGGGTAAAAAACTG